ACAGGAACTTTTTGTCTGCCTTCAAGATGAAACTTAGGTGAACACCGTTTCTCGACATGCCCGATCCGAATATCGCGGTCTCCCGGCTTGAATCGTTGCGAGGAAAAAGCAGGTAGTTTTCATATGGATTATCGGTATGTGATTGAGAGACACCTTTTCTCACTCAAATCACAAAATGAACAGAAAGATATGCATGTGCGAAAAGAGATATCTCCTTATTTGCTAGTGCTCTAATAGAAAAATAAGAACGTGTTTCAGCATATGGGAAGAAAGAAGAAAAAAGCATATTTTCTCTTTTTCACAGTGAACACGAACTTATATATGCAGAACGGAAAAAGTGAAAAACTTAAGTTTTAAACGTTCAGAACCATTTTTATGCAAAACCAATGTAATATTCGGAATCTGCGAAAAACACTGCATCGAATGATATATAATTCGACGCGTTTTTGGAAAAAAAAGTTTTCGTCCTAAATTTTAGGCAAAACACCTGAGGGGGACCTCAGGCAAAAATTTCGATGGGAACTTTTTGTCTGCCTTCAAGACGAAACTTAGGTGAAAAAGGTTTCTCGACATGCTGAATCCGAATATCGCATTCCCGCTGCTTGAATCGATGCGTGGAAAAAGTAGGTAGTTTTCATATGTATATGAAGCTTTTCAAAACAATTTTCGTCGAACCGTATACGCAGTTTTGACTTCTCGCATATATTCTTGTTATATTTCTATCTATAAATCTTTATATTTTTGTTCTTTTCTTTGTGCGTGTTTTTGACTGACTTTCATTTTATATCGAATATTGATTGCAGATAAGAAAAAATAAAGTACGAAATTAATATTAATGCACACATGATAAGGGAATAATATAACACTGAGTGTAAGGAGACCCACTTTCGTCTACTCCTTTAATCTGATCTGCGCTGAAAACGCGCTTTAGAACGTATTCTGTCCGCGATAAAACTCCTCTGTCAGTAATAACCATTTTGTATTGTTAAAGTTTCCATCATAAAATGTTTTGTTTTTCCTCGTTTGCTTTATTATTTAGTAACTTGTGTCTGAGCTCAATGTCGATATCAGAAAGTGCAAGAACTGATGAGGAAATATCATTTCCTGATATTGCATTATTGGATAGATCAAAAAGCTTTCATTCAAGTATCGAAGGTAAAGTTTGGCTTCGCCTATTGATTAATTTATGTTGGTGGCTCCATGACATGTACGAAGTTGAAGGAAACGATCCAAATGCAAAATTAGATTATATTGAAGATAAGCTTGCTAACTGTAAATCATTATTTCCTGCACGATTTGTATTGATGTTTTCTGATTCGAAATTTGTTCCCAATGAACAACATCCATTTTTGATTTGTCGTCAGGATGAACATAAAACAATTTTGTTAGTATTTCGTGCGACTGTTTCATCAAAATCAATTCAAGATGTATTTACTGATATTAGATTTTATACAAATAGTCAAGTTTATGAAGGTGATAGACATTCAGGATTTTCAAAACGAGCAGAATCGGGACCACTATTAGCAGTTGTCAACTGGTTACAACAAGGATGGAAAATTATTGTTAGTGGACATTCACTTGGTGGTGCAGTGAGTCAATTATTCACTTGTGCAGTTATTAAATCTCTTATTGAAATTGGTTTAACACTAGATGACGTTGTATTACGATGTATTACTTTTGGTACACCTCAATGTGCTGATCATAATCTTTGGTCAAGTTATTCAGCATCGTATGATATTTTTGATACTTATATTTACGAAAATGATGCCATTTTTCGTTTGGTTACATTTGGTGGAAATGTAGCGCAAAATATAATTAATTCGTTTGTTCGTAAGATTGGAAATGCTGTTGGAGAAAAAATAATTCAGTATATGGCGCTTAATCATCAGTCGTCAAATATTCTTCATTGTGGCGGTGATCAAATTGGAAATGTGATTAATGATATTCTCATTCCAAAATATGCCGTATTTGGACGTCATCATTTTATTGTTAAAACTCAATTGGCAGCATTGAATATT